TGTTGTCACTATTTTTTATTTTTGCCATTCTGATAGGTGTGCAGTAATACCTCATTGTAGCTTTAATTTGTATTTCCCTAGTGAAATTATTTTGAACATCTTTTCATGTGCTTATTTGCCATCTGTATATCCTCTTCAGTGAAATGTCTCCTCATGTCTTTTGCTCATTTTATAATTGGATTGTTTGGTTTTTTACTGTTTTGAGTTCTAAGAATTCTTTATATAGTATAGATGCTAGTCCTTTGCTGGATATGCGATTTGCGAATATTTTCTCCCACTATGTAGCTTGTCTTTTCATCCTCTCAATAGGGTCTTTCATGGAACACTTCTCCTCTCTTTCTGACCATACTCAACCAAGTTAGTTTTTATTTATCTTTAAAGTCTTAGATCTAATTTTCACTTCATTTGTAAAACCTTCCTTGATCTCCTAGACTAGATCAAATCTCACAATTATAAATTCTCAATACACTATGAACCTCTCCTTCACAGCACTTATTACAATTGGGATTTTACATTTATTTGTGTGTGTCTGTGATTCGTGACTATCTTACCCTCCAGCCTATAAATTCCATGAGGGCTGGGACTGTGTCTGTTTTGGGTTGCCACTGTAACTTAAGCACCAACTCTGTCCGGCCAAGAGCAGATATTCACTGAATATGTGTTGAATGATTAAGAAGAGGGTCCTGCAAAAGTCTTCTATGAACCTGAGATCAAAAGTACATTGGGTACAAAACTACACTATCAACCATAAGTGAATCGTTGTGTAGTGTATGCATGTATTGAAAAAATATACTGTACTCCACAAATATGTACAACTAAATGTTAAAATATTTTGAATTAAAAAAAAAAGTACATTGTGAGGCATTCAGAAGAGTAAAAAAGAATAGGAAACAGAAGTATTATCTCAGTGGTAAGAAACTGCACAACAGCGGGTCACAGGATAACAATGATGGGTTCCCAGCTGTTTGAACAACTATATCAAAAGAATATTGGCTACTGGACTCTGACCCCCTGGAGAGAAGTTTCTATTGGTACACTAGTGGATTCTATCTTAGGTCCAGTCCTACACAATATTTTGAACAAGATACAGGCTTGCCTATCTTGTCTGCAGATGATATGAAAGTCAAAAGGTTTATGAAACAATTTATGATGAAATTTAGATTAAAAATTATATCAAATGAAAATACTAAGCCAAAACCAATAAGATAAAGGTTAATAGAGATATATGTAAACTTGCAGTTAGGTTAAATCAATCTTGCAAGTACATGACACCAAAGTGAAGCTGGGCTTGATTATATAGTTTGTGTAAAAAAAGACTTGGTTGCTGACCACAAATTCATTATGAACCAATGTTGTGATTCAGTTGCTAAAAGCACTAACTGTCCAGAGGATGAGAGGTGATGGTCTCATTATTCCAGTAGACTATCAAGCACTGTGTCTAGTTCTTAGAGCCAGTTCTGGGCCTGGAAACCTTGAGATATGAAGAATGGTTAGATCAGCTACAGAAGTTTAGCTTGCAAAAGTAAACACTAAGGGAAAACAAAAACTGATCTTAGACAGAGGCAGTCCACCAAATTTGTACTTCTAATTTCAAAAGTGGTACTCTTGAAGTTCTTTCATGTTTTTTTATTGCCACCATTTCTGATAAGTTCTTTTTCATATTTTTATGTTCTTGTTTCATTTATTCTTATTTTTGTTTCATAATTCCTTGTTTGTTTTGTGGATATTATACATTCATTTCTCTTTTTGAGAATTCTCTAAAAATATATTTCGTTTTCTATCACCCACTATTTTTAAGGCAGGAAATGACCTCTTTTTCTCCTCTTTTCCTATAGATTGTTCTACTGCTTTCATTTTGTCTGGGGTGATTTCAAATTTTGGTTGTTGATTTTGTTGTCAGTATTTCTTAGAAATCTTTTTTTCATATGTTTTGGAAATTTAGGTTGCAGTTTATTTTTAGTGGAAAGTTTCTTCCCTTCTTCCTTTTCTTCTCTCTCTTTCTGTCTTCCTCTTCCTCTCCCTGTCTAGTGGTTTGCTTTTCTTCTCTCTGGTCTCTGTGGCTCCCAGTCCAAAGCCAGATCATATGCTAGGGCTCTGGGCTCCTGCCCCATGGTAATAGTAAAGATCCTGCCAGCATGCCTACAGGCAGCTTACGTTTCCTCCTAGGCACTCGGTGTGCATAGAGAACATCTATTACCTGTTATGTTACCTTTACAGAAATCATACTTCAGGTGGCCTCTGTATACCTACCGTTAAGTTGGAAGTCCACCAGGACACTGGCTTTTTTCCTCTACATGGCTCTATGTTTCTGTTCCATTTCTCATCCTGGGAGAGGTATAGAAGAGTACATAAAACTTATATGTACAGTTCTAAAAAGAATGGGAAGGTGAGCACTTGTAACTACCATTAGCTAAATCTTTTACATTTTTCTCTTTAAATTTTTTGTCTTTCACTGTCATGTGCTTAGAGTAGTGGTGACCCCCACAGTGGGAACCTCTAATACCACCTTGACAGAATGTACCTGTCCACTGTGAAAGTTATCAGTATCAAAATGGAGTCACTAATGTCAAACCTGAACTAAGTGGAGCCGAAAGACCAGGAAGGAGGGGCCTTCACATGTATGCCTAGGACAGGTACTATGCAAGAAATTCCTCAAAATCACACTATTACAGACAAGCCGCTTACCCAAGGACACTTGCCTAACAATGGCATTTCCACAAATGAGCTAATGCTAAATCCTGCAACAAGCCTCTGTAACCAATGGTCTCTGTTTAAAAACAGTCTACATGGACTTCCTTTTTGTATATCTTTAAAAGCTCCTCCCTTCCCCCAACCCCCTTGGATAAGCCTATGATCTGTCATAGCACACATATCCCAGAATGCAATCTCGTTACTCCTGAATAAACTCTGCTTTGAAGAGCCAGTCTCTCCGTCTCTCATTTTAGGGTGATACCCTCTAACTGCAGGTGGCATTCCAGAGACCTTTGTGAGTTTCACTGCTAAACCCCCTGGGCCCTAGTATACTCTGGTCTGGGGAGAGAAAGAAGGAGTCTTGGGCTTTGTGAGTAGCCCCAGCACCTTATAATTATTTAGCCCCAGTATCTTCTCACTAGGTGTGGTCACCATTATTGCCCTTTCCTCCAATTAAATAATTATTACCTCAAGATGTTTACAGCTTTTTCTCCTGACAACAGCTTGTCAATTCAAGTCTGTGAACTCTCTCTGTGTGTATATTCCACCTGTAAGAAAATACAGCGTCATTTTATATATGGGATGTATTGCCCCAAGGCCTAAAGTATAGGCCTATAAGATCTCACAAATCATATATATATTCCAAAATATAAAAATAAAATTGCAAAATTGGAATGTATAAATGTTTAATTACCTTCATAATTAATATTTCAACTTCATTACATGTTAAATTAGGATTACACAAGTTTTACATTTTTTTTTTGTAATTATTCCCTGTGTCCTCCCAGCAACCTCTCCCCAACCTCCCTCCCCTTACCCCTTCTTCCCCCTGCCCTGCCCGGCAACCCTAGGTATGTTCTCTCCCTCTGCAAATCCAATACACCACTGTGGTCTTTCCTTCCTTCTTTCTCTCTTAGCTCCCACTTATGAATGAGGACATGTGGAATTTTTCTCTCTGTGCCTGGCTATTTCACTTCACATAATTTTCTCCAAGCTCATCCATGTTTCTGAGAATGGCAGAATTTCATTCTTATTTATGACTGAGTAGTATTCCATAGTGTATATACACATTTTCCTTATCCAGTTGTCTGTCGATGGACATTTAGGTTTTTTCCATATCTTGGCTACTGTAAATAGAGCTGCAGTGAACATGGGAGTGCATGTATCCCTTCAATATGATTTCCATTCCTTTGGGCATATACCTAGAAGTGGGATTGCTGGATCATATGGTAGATCTTATCTGTAGTTGTTTGAGAAATCTCCATAATGTTTTCCATAGTGGCTGTACTAACTTACAGTCTCCCCAACAGTGTAGGAGAGTTCCCCTCTCTCTACATCCTTGTCAGTATTTGTTATTCTCAGTCGTTTTGATTACAGCCAGTCTAACTGGAGTGAGACATCTCAATGTGGTTTTAATTTGCATTTCCCTGATGATTAGTGATGCTGAGAATTTTTTTTAAGCACCTATTAGCCATTTGTATGTTTTCCTTTGACGTTTTACATTTTGTAGCAATTTGAGATTAGATTTCTTATTTCACAAGAATCTCTGATCATTTACATATGCCCAGAAATCATAGCTAATTGTAAATTACATGAGTTACTTTCGGATTAAAAATTTTCAAGCACAAATTTTTAAAACACTTTTCTTTTTTATAGCAAAAAAATTAATATAAGGTCTGGATATTACTTCCTATGTTTGATAAGGAGCTAAACCTCCAGAAGTAAGAGATTTTTTTGAGTCTAGGGAAATGGAAAGAGCTGAAATTAGGCTTAAAGAAGGGAGATGGTAAGAGACAGAAAAGAATAGCGTTCTGAAGAAAAAGGAGATGCCTGCTAAGCGTCTGTTTTGTGCCAGGCGCTGTTCCAGAAGGTGAGGATCCAAAAGTTAAAGTCACGGCTCGCCAAAGAAGTCACAGCCTGTTAAGGAATCTGACAAGTTCAGCTATACAACGTTGTGTTGCTAAGGAGGCGTGCATATGGGGGCGGTGGGGAGGCAAGATGATGGGGGCGAGAACTCCCTGGGACCAGAACTAGGAAGGCTTCTCTGAGATGACATTTGATGAGGGGAGGCAAAGCAAAAAAAAAGGAAGGGGAGAAAGACGAAAAAAATATCAAGACACAAGGCAAGGAGAAGGAAGGGAAAGGCGGAGGAAGGGCTCGATGCGATCGGCGCTCCGGCCGTGGGGCGTCGACTGCTAGGTCTGAGCGCGGTCCCCGCCGCTCTCCCCGCCCTCCCCTCCCCCCCCTTCCCGCGCCGCCACCGGCCGGGCCTGTGCGAGCTCTGAGGCAGCCGGCCCTCCAGAGACGCCATGTACCGGCTCCTGTCAACCGTGACTGCTCGGGCCGGGTTGAGGGGCGCGGCGCCCGCGCAGCCCCCCGCGGCCCCCGACCCTGAGGCGTCGCCTGAGGCCGAGTCGTCGCAGGAGGTTGAGGGGCGCGGCGCCCGCGCAGCCCCCCGCGGCCCCCGACCCTGAGGCGTCGCCTGAGGCCGAGTCGTCGCAGGAGGTTGAGGGGCGCGGCGCCCGCGCAGCCCCCCGCGGCCCCCGACCCTGAGGCGTCGCCTGAGGCCGAGTCGTCGCAGGAGGTTGAGGGGCGCGGCGCCCGCGCAGCCCCCCGCGGCCCCCGACCCTGAGGCGTCGCCTGAGGCCGAGTCGTCGCAGGAGCAGCCCCTCGCCCTGAGGTCTCCGCAGACCCCGGCGCCGCCACCCTCCAGGTGTTTCGCCAGAGCCATCGAGAGCAGCCGCGACCTGCTCCACAGGATCAAGGTGCGGCGACTAGGGAGGGGGAATGTAGACGGCCGGGGATCCGGCACCCTGCTCCGGCTCACCCCGGAATAAGGCCCCTTCGTGGTCATCTCCCGGGGCTGAGCGGACCTCACCCTAGGCGGTGGGGTGCCGGCGGCTTGCTGACGAGAAAGACTTCCCGTTTCTCGACGGACAGTCATGATCAGACGCTTTTGGGGCTTGCCCAATTCGGGGCGGAGGTCACCGCCCGCTCGGGGACCGCCCCTTCCCCCCAGTGTGCGGACTGGGCGCACTCCTCGCGGTTAGCTTACACCGCAGTGCCTGAGCCGAGGTGGGCGGGGCCCGGGCCGAGGGAGGGGCCTGAGCCGAGGTGGGCGGGGCCCGGGCCGAGGGCAGGGCCTAAGCCGAGGTGGGTGGGGCCTGGGAAGATCCCAGGTGAGAGAGTGCCCCGGGATGTGCGAGGTTCATCAGCCTGTCTTTGAACTGTCCGTTCTTTTCCCCTTCGCTCTTAGGATGAGGTGGGCGCACCGGGCATAGTGGTTGGAGTTTCTGTAGATGGAAAAGAAGTCTGGTCAGAAGGTGGGCTCAGAAGTGTTATTTAGTGGCTTGTTTTGTGCCAGTTGGTGAATAAAATATTGATGTTTTACTGGTTGGAGTGAATCCCATGAAATGCTATTCCCTTTACAAACATATTGTAGAGAAAATAATAGAATAAAGGATCAGGGTTTTTCGTGGGTTTTTTTTTTATCACATTTAAAATGTGACTAATAAATAAATTGGAGTCTTAAAGATAACTTGTTTCTACTCTCACTTTCCTCTTAGGACTGAATTTATTGGGTCTGAAAGTTGTGTGTAGAACAATCTGCTAACTGCGTATTTGTAGATAACCCTTATGGGTAGATAAAACGTCAGAATTTCTGTATTCTTTTTTAATTCAGTCAACAATTTATTGAGTCACCTATTCCGTAAAAGGCACTGTACTAAGTACTGGGGACATATACTATTCCTTGCCCTTAATGAGTTTACAATCTATTTTATTTTATCTTTTTGCTAGGCAAAGATGTCAACTAATTTTTCAAACAGAAGCTAGAAGCTTTGGGAGAGGGATTTCTATTCATTTTATGATACTTTTATCAAAGTATTATTTTATAACTTCTCCACTGCACACAAGTTAGTCCAATTGGTCATCCAGGTTTTTAGGAATCCTACTTTTAGGAAATGACATTTCAGACATCATTTAAAGAAAGTAGTACTTTTAGGAGAAGTTGATGGGAGCCTGAATAATATACCTAACATGAAAAATCTTGTAATCAAAAATTATATAAATATATAAGTATTTCTACTGAAAATGTATGGCTTTCACACCATCATAAAGTTCAGAAATCATTAAGTCAAACCATCATAAGACAGGGACCATCTGTAATCTGAAGAAGAATAATGATGTTTTATTTAAAGAATGTTGAGTAATTTATTTAAAATGTGGAACAACCAGATTATTTAGATAAGCTAAGAAAAATTAGTATCTGAATCAGATGGAAAATTATTGTTGCACACAGGTATAATTTCAATTTAGTTATAAGGTTAAATTGTGAGGCTTACTGTTGTCAGTGTTGCTAAGACTCATCCCTTACATGTCCAGTTTTAAGTATCTTATAAAAGTAGAATATCTTTTTCTTTAGATAAATACACAGGGTGTTTTAAGATAGTATTATTTCAGTTTTTGAAGACTTGTTTGACTATGAAGCCAATTAAAAGTGACTTTTTGCTTTTTTTTTTTTTTTTTCCCTCAAAGGTTTAGGTGCACACAGGTATAATTTCAATTTAGTTATAAGGTTAAATTGTGAGGCTTACTGTTGTCAGTGTTGCTAAGACTCATCCCTTACATGTCCAGTTTTAAGTATCTTATAAAAGTAGAATATCTTTTTCTTTAGATAAATACACAGGGTGTTTTAAGATAGTATTATTTCAGTTTTTGAAGACTTGTTTGACTATGAAGCCAATTAAAAGTGACTTTTTGCTTTTTTTTTTTTTTTTTGCCTCAAAGGTTTAGGTTATGCTGATGTTGAGAACCGAGTGCCTTGTAAGCCAGAGACAGTTATGAGAATTGCCAGCATCAGCAAAAGCCTCACAATGGTTGCTCTTGCCAAATTGTGGGAAGCAGGGAAACTGGATCTTGATATTCCAGTACAACATTATGTTCCTGAATTCCCAGAAAAAGAATATGAAGGTGAAAAGGTAGTGAAACTCATAGTTCATTTCACTAATTGCATGTTAAATGGTTTCTGCTAAAATTTATATTTAACATGTTTCATAGGATTCTTTGTTTTCAGTTGTTGTTAATGGAATAATTTCTTTTTATCAGACAGGTATTTTTCTGAAATTTGAAGCTAAGAATCTGTACGTGACATTTTTCCAGCAGCAGTTCAAAATGGAAAATATTACTGAGGCATTATTCCAAGGCTACTAACTTTTTATTGTACGGTTTAATATTGTAATTGAATTTTCATGTTTTTATAATTAGGTTTCTGTCACAACAAGGTTATTGATTTCCCATTTGAGTGGAATTCGTCATTATGAAAAAGACGTGAAAAAGGTGAAAGAAGAGAAAGCTTATAAAGCCTTGAAGATGATGAAGGGGACGATGGAATCTGACCAAGAAAAAGAGTTGAAAGAAAAAGGAGGCAAAAATAATGAAAAGAATGACTCTGCTAAAGCTAAGACAGAGCAGGATAATGAAGCCAAATGCCGGAATTCCAAACCTGGCAAGAAAAAGAATGATTTTGAACAAGGCGAATTATATTTGAAAGAAAAGTTTGAAAATTCAATTGATTCCCTAAGATTATTTAAAAATGATCCTTTGTTCTTTAAACCTGGTGAGTGTTAATTTCTTCTCTTAACAAAGTCATTATTGAAGTGTTAATTTTCAGGAAATTGAAAATGATACCATCCTGAGTGATTGTGGTATGGGCCAGTCCAGGGTTTGCCTTTTTGTATGTGATTCCTAATAAAGCCTACCATCCAGGGAGGTAGTTGTTTAGATTTAGCCTCATTGGAGGCTACCCAGTCATTTAGAGGATTCTTAGTATTATGATATTCATGGGAAATTATGGAGAAATGTTAGAATAATAGTTCTCCAGATAAAACCTGGACCAAAGTAGACATGATAAAGTATTGCTAATATTTTAGTAAGTAGAATTTAAATTGCTCAACTTATTTTGTACTTTCATTCCTTAAAGAAATTAGTGTTGATCAACTTAATTTTATTTCCCATAATGCAGATATATAAAAATAATTCTTTGTTTTTGTATATTTTTTGATATGCCTATTGAAACCACTTAATATCTTTTAGTTTACCATAAGCTTATGTACTTTTATTCTATTTTCATTTTAAAAGGTGTTTCTACTGTGAATAGATATTATACAGATATAGATAATAAGAGTAAAGAATATATAATTATGACTTTGTCTTAAAAAATAGTTTCCACACATTTTTAGTACAGATCATACAATCTTAATTTTCCAGAATCCAAAATGATATAGTTAAATACTTGAAACAATATGTATATTTGAATATGTATTTGCATTTAAATATGTATATGAAATAGGTTTTTATGCCTACATAGATTTTATTAAAATAAGAGCTTGTACAGCTATTTATGCCTTCAACAGTGTGTAGTTAGGTATATTAGGGACAAAACAGTTGACCCAAGAAATCAAATTTGCTTCTCTGCTCCTTCCTATTTTGTCAGTTTGAAGGATTTTTGTTTTATTTTGTTTTGGGGTAGGATTTATTCACTTATTTCATTATCAGAGAAAGGAGTAGATCCATGTGAAATTTTAAGTATACTGATCATAATTTTATTCTTGTGTTAGGGACATGGAATAAGCAGGGCCATTGCAAAGTTAACTGAATTTGTTGACATATCATCTGTGATCTTTCTCTAAATGCTGAAATAAAATATTCCGGTTTTAAAGGTATGCCAATTTTCAGTGGGCAAATATTTTACATATTTTTGAATAATAATCGATCATTTTCTTTTTTTTTCCCTTTTGCAATGAATTCTCAAGGTAGTCAGTTTTTGTATTCAACTTTTGGCTATACCCTACTGGCAGCCATAGTAGAAAGAGCTTCAGGATATAAATATTTGGACTATATGCAGAAAATATTCCAGGACTTGGATATGCTGACAACTGTGCAGGAAGAAAATGAGCCAGTGATTTACAATAGAGCAAGGTAAACGAATACTTTCTGCTGTGTCTAGCTATATGCATCTTAACAATATGATACCAAAGACGAATTTTCCTTTTCTGAATTCCAAAGTCAACTTGCCACAGTTTGGGAGCTTTTCTGTATATATCTATTTTTCTGTCTATAAAGTGAGGGAAATAAAATGTGTTTGTAAAGTACCCAAAGATCATTAGATGAAAGGCAGCAATAATAATTCAAGCACATGAATAATTAAACCAAAATTGCACCCATCATGAGCAGCTGTAATTTGCTCATTAATCATCCCAAAGCTAATGCTCTGTTTGTTTGCCTTTTATTATTTTCATGTTTATTTTGAAATAATTTTGTACTTACAGAATAGTTGCAAGAATAGTATGAAAATTCATATATATACCCTTTACCCAGATTCCCCAAATGTCAACATTTTACCACATTTGCATTATCTATCTATATGCTGTTTTTTTCTGAACCTTTTGGAAATAAGTTGCAGACATGGTACCCCTTTACCTGTAATTATTTAAAGTGTATTTTCTAAAAACAAGGACATTCAGGAAATTAACATTGGCACAAAGCTTTTATCAAATCTACAGACATTCAAATTTTGCTACTTGTTCCAATAACCTTAATAGCAAAAGAAAAGAAAAAAAAAAAATTCTGCTGTTCAGGGATTCAATCCAGGATGCCACATTACATTTAGTTGTTATGGCTCTCAGAAGTCACATGATGTCTATTTGTCCCATTATTGGTGATGGTATTTTAATCACTTTGTTGAGGTGGTGCCTGTCAGATTTCTCCAGTGTAAAGTTTCTATTTTTTTTCCCTTTGTAATTAACAAGTATATTTGGGGGGGATACTTTGAGACCGTGTAAAAAATCCTATTTCTCACAAAAGTTTTTACTAGTTTTAGCATCCATTGATGACTGGTGACTGAGTCAGTTATTTCAGTGATGGTTGCCAAATGGTGATTTTCTAATTCCATCATTCATTCTATGTTTGTTAGTTGGCATTCTGTTATAAAAAAGTCCTTTCCCTTCTCCCTTATTTATGTATTTATCTATTCATAACAGGATGCACTCGTGGATTCTTATTTTAGTCAGTGAGTTATAATTTGTCACTACCAGTATTTAATATCTTGCTTTTAAAATATTAACTATATAAAATATTAAAAGGAAACTATTTGTAAGAGTAAATGGCTATTAGGTTTCTTACCCGTGTGTGTGTTTGTGTGTTTGTGTGTGTATTTTTTTTTTAGTAGTTAATTGACTTTTTAATAATTTTTTATTCTTATTGTGGTAAAATATACCTAACATAAAATTTACCATCTTAAGTTTTAAGTGTATGGTTAAGTAGTATTAAATACATTCATAATATTTTGTAACCATTACCAACATCCATCTCCATAACTCTTTTCATCTTTTAAAACTGAAATTCTGTATCTATTAAACAATAACTTACCGCTACCCTGGTAACCACCATAGAAACTTTCTCTCTTTATAATTTTGACTACTGTAACTATCTTACATAAGCAGAGTCATTGTATTTATATAGTTTTAATCAAAGAATTTTATGTTTGATTTTGTGTGTTAACAGTGAACATTAAAATGCTCTTCTGATCTGGATTATGTAGACTCCTGCTACATGCCGTTAGTGAGGGTAATTAAGATTTTTGGTGTATTATAAAAACACTAAGTGCTATCTAACTAAAATAATTGAACATTTAAGAAATATCAGATTTAAAGAATTGTTTTATAGTTTGGCATCCTTAGGTAGTTTTTTAATTATAAAGATTAAATTTAAAGCATTTGAGACATAGTTTCTCCCCCTATTTTCTTTTTTCTTTTTTTTTTTTTTGCTACATGTTTGCTTTATTTATTTATTTTTTTATTTTGTCAATATACACTGTATATGATTATTATGGCCCATCACCTACACCTCCCTCCCTCCTCCCTCTCTCCCCTCCCCCCCAAGAATGTCCTTTCCGTTTGCTTGTTGTAACAACTTCATGGAAGTATAGTTGTTATATCTTCTTCCCCACCCCCACCCCCGGTTTTTTTTGTGTGTGTGTATGTGGGTGAATTAGTTTGTTTGTTTGTTTTTTGTTTTTTTTTTTAGCTCCCACCAATGAGTGAGAACATGTGGAATTTCTTTTTCTCTGCCGGACTCGTTTCACTCAATATTATTCTCTCAAGGTCATTGATCTAT